TATATATATATAGTTCAATAGGTTTCTTTCAGTTAGTCCCTTTTAATACATTTCCAGCTGCCCAATGGCACATCTGCCATGGCAGATTCTCTGACTGCATTCTTAACACATCCTAGATGCTTTTTCTTCCTTTCTGGATCACTTTGGAGAAGTACTGAATTTTGACACATCTCAGCATTTCTTATAAAATCATTCCACTTAATATGGGCATTTTCCTGACACTTACTTATGAAAGCATTTAGATACCTGTCTGTTTCTTTGGTGTATTTCTTCCTTTCACATCCACAGGTCAAGGATAAAATGAGTTAAGAGTTTCATAGTTGGTCTCTACAGTTGCAGATTTTCTGATGACCAAACTATTCTAAACTGGTGAAGGCAGATGATACATTACTAATTCGTAACTATTTCCTTCTCAGTATCCTACTGGTGGGCATGGAAACGCTGATGTCTGAAAACTCACCTCTTACATTTGTTTGCTTTCTAATGTAATTCTTGAGATGGGAGTTGCTGGGGCTCTAATTTTTTCCATTAAAAAAAACAAACACCCTTTTTAAAATACAGAATGGTATTTCAGTCTGTCTTCATGTTAACTGAGCTGCCATTTGGAGGACTGCTCATCAGCAAAATCTGAATTTTCTAACCTACCTGTTACGCCATGCAATGCCTTTACCTATACTTTTGACAATATACTGTATCCTTCCTTGTTTGAGACTACTGATTGTTAAACTGTTAATTTAATTCTGCATTTACAGGGCATGCTGAACCTCAATTATTTTTATAATTGCTTTAATCAAGATGTTCTAGTGAACTGCAATAGAGACTGTCAAATTCTCTCAAAATCTTAGCGTAGGGCGGGTCAGTTTTTTCCATTCATTGTTCTCTTTGAAGATTACTCAGGGTAAAAAAAAAAAAAAATCTTAAGATCTTTCAGATCAAAATCAAGTTTGCTCTTATCTCAGTTTTGCTTCAATTATTTACTTTATTTTTCTGGATCACAAAAAACATTAAAATTTATCCAATTACTTCAGTCTCTTATATCACCTTTCTTTGATATTTTGAAATATAGTATCATTTTTTCACAGACTTTCCTGGTTCTACACTTCACTGAAACATCCAGTTATTCATGAAACAAGACTAAGCTTTCAATATTTAATTTCACTATTTTCCAGGTTGATTTAGCCAGGGTTTTCTCCAGCTATTAACATTTCATGGTCTTCACTTCTTTGAGAGATGTTGCAACACCTAGTTCTAGGTTCTTAATTTCTTTGTCAAGTTAATAGTTTGACAAGCTGAGCTGTTCAATGTTTCCAGACAATCTGTCTACTACTCTCTCTCTATTCTTTTGTTAAGGGTTGTTGGTTTTTTTTGTAAGAGATCCTCTAGAGAATGTTGACTTGTTTGAGAAACATGTTGAGTTTACCTTTTTCAGTAGCCTCTTCAACTTCTCCAGTATGTATTTTCTCTCGTCTCCGATTTACAATTTTCTCCTATGTTTTATGCTGCAAAAAGCTATTTCTTTTTTGTAGGTATTTAAGGGGTAAGATATTTACTTCAGTTTGCTTACCTCCTTTGAAACAGTTCCCTATATCCTTACTTATCGAGACTTCATCTTCTTACCTGATAACTAGTTAACGTAACAGTCATGCAAAAAGTTAACATTGATGTGTCATGATACTCATGGTGAACGTAAATCTCACACATCTAGACCTGTTCAGATTAACTTTAAATTGTTTTTTGTAAAGTTTCATCTGTTAGCCTTTTGTTAATTTTCTTGTTGCTTTGGGGGACTTTGTTCTTTCCCACATGCTAATCTTCAGCTTTGCCACATAAACTGTGATCATTATAGAGGTCTGATCTTCTGTACACTTTAACATTCCAGAGAGTAAATCTAGATTTCCTTCCAATACACTGATAGTCAAGCTGAGTATTTCCAAGTTACCTTACAGAACCTGTTACGAGGGAATAAAACTCCTTCCAATAATGATCCCTGATGCCATACATAGTTCTACCTGTATATCTTCTGCATTAGATATTATTCTGATTTGCTTGTTTCTAATAAGTACTGAAATCGCAGGCTTCCAAAAGAGTTATGAACCAAAATTTACATCAGACAGCTTTTTTCCTCAGGTTTCCAAGAAACAAAAACTCTTAGGTTTGTGTTGAAAAAAAAAGAGAGATCAATACATAACTCAGTGGACTAGTAAATGAAGCTATGGGATTTACACAAGAGAGGGCTACCATATGATCTCTCTCTCCCTTCAAATACCAATAAAAAAAACATTTAAAAAACCCTTTAAATTAGTCTGAGCCAGCACTGACAGCATTACTTTGACATCCCGTTTTAAAGCTCGTTATGATGACACTGCACCTTATTACTTTTAATCATAAAAAATTCTAGCCCAGCAGTGCTCAACCTCTGGACCACAAGTCAAATGCAGCTCACAGAGCCTTGGAATCCAGCCTGCAGAGCTCCCCAGGGCTCAGAAAATTTGGCAGCAGTAACAGTTAAAACTTCCACCCCTCCCTGCTGCCAAAATCCCTAACTGCACGGTGGGTCAGAGCCGGGCCACAACCTACCCCTTGCACAGCTGGTTTAATGCTGGTCCATGCCCCCTTTTCCCCACCCCCTATGGGTCTGGCCTATTCCCATTCCCTCCACCCAGCCAGGTTCGGGCTGGGTCACACCCCTTTCTCCCTGCCCCCCCACAATATATCAGATGTATTAAGGCCACGCTGCCCCCACCCCTGCCTGCATGGCTGGATGGGTGCCTGATGCACCTGTCTTGGGTGCCAGATTGCAGCCACCAGTCAGATGCAGCCTGCAGAAGGACCAGACGCTGCCCATCCAGCCCACAGAGGCAAAAGGTTGAGCTCCACTGATCTAGCCCATTCTGTTAAGCAGAAGGTCAAGGAGTTCCACTGTGAAGAACCTATAGAAAACACTTCCTTGAAAAGAAAAAATTAAATTGGGCACTGCATTCAGGATAACATTTGAGATACTGATTTTCTGCAAGTGTAACACATGGTTCTGTCCAACTTCATAGACTTCATACCAGTTTTGATCCTCTGAAACTAATGCAGGTTTTACCCTGTTACAACTGCCTTTTTAATACAAAGGGGAAAAAATGTATTTTGGGCCTCAATGCCCAGTCATGAGTCTTCTGCAAGGCTATTATTACCTTGAAAAGGTTAAAAAATAGCGATAGTATTTCTTTTGAAATAGTCCCTTATATATGAAGTACCTCGAATTCCAATATACTAATATTATAAAAGCCTTAGTTAGTCTGTCTGTCTCTAATACTTTATTTGTGCTCTGATTGGCTGACTGAAACAACCAGAGTGCTCCAAGAGCATTCAGACAGGAGACAGCGCAGACATAGGGGACAGGGGGTGGGGGCCAGGCCAGCTGCAGGCAGTGGTGACAGAGTGGGGGAGTGTAATAGTAAGGGCTTTGCTAAATACTAATAGCAAGAGTTTTGTATGCTGACTCCATAGTAGGCTGGCGAAACAGCACATAGCTTCTTGCTCTGTGAGCGTGACCGAACTATGAACCTAGATAGTAGAACGTTGTAATACAGTGGAATGTGGTAAACACCAGGCGTGTTGGATCACAACTCATCCCCAAATTTTTAGCTTGAGATAACCAAATCCCTAGTTCAAGATAACATCATTTACTCCGGACTATATAAGCTGTACATTAATTTACAATGAGTTCCTCCACTCTGGCAAGAATTCTGACTTGCGCGGAGCCCCGGCACAGGCTATCACATCCCCAGGATCAGGACACTCCAGGGCCAGGGGAACTATGTGGGGTGGCAGCTGCCGCCGAGAGCTGATGTGAAGTGACCATCCTCTCTGTTCTGTCCTATTGCCTGCCTCTGCGAGTATCCTTAAAGCTTTGCAAGGGTGAGAACAACCATGAGTACATCCTTTGTTCAAGCGCGGGGAATCTTCTGAACCCAGTAGTTCATTCTAAGACAGGGAGCCGCTGTCCCACTGCCACCTGGTCCTGACAAAAGCCGGCAGGGGGGGGAGGGAGAGGGGCACGGTGACGGCACCCTTCTGCCGCCACCGCCAGGCCCTGCCAACAACTGGGACAGGAGGGGAGCAGGGAAGGGAGGCAGGTGGATGCA